AGAGGTGTCTCCTTTTGCTGCTAATGTGTCTCCTTCTGTCTCCTCCTCATCTGTCTCCTCAGAGGAGACACCATTCTCTTCTCTCTCCATTACCTATATAAATAAATAAATAAATAAATAAAATAAATAAATAAAATAAAATAAATAAATAAATAAATAAATAAAATAAATAGAATAAATAAATAAATAAATAAATAAAAAGACTTACCTCCTTGAGAGATTCTCCGCTGCTGCGGCCCTTTTTTACTTTTATTTGCTGCTGCTGCTGCTGCTGCTGCTGCTGCGAGCAAAGACGAGTAAATGCTGCCTTAGCTTTACTCTCCACAGAATCATACAAACGAGTCTGCAGCAGCAGCAGCAGCAACAGCAGCAGCAGATGTAGGCTGTATATGTATACCTCGTAGACATTATAAATAGTATAATATATATCCTAGGGTTTACAAGGGATAATTAGTGTTTATGAGGGTTTATTAGGGTTTATGAAGGTTAATTTGGGTTTATGAGGGTATATTAGGGTTTATAAGGGTTAATTAGGGTTTAGGGTTTAGGGTTTAGGGTTTAGGGTTTAGACCTGTTTTTTAAGCATAAGAGATTGCATATGATCTAATAAATGTTCTCTTCTTAATCCATAAAGAGATAAACGATTAACTGTCTCCTGAGGGTCTCCTCCATACGCTAAAGGAGACACTGTCTGCATACACACAAACCCTAAACCCTAAACCCTAAACCCTAGACGAATGCCTGTGAACAGACACCTCTTCCAAGAATACACAACCTTAAACTCGAAACTAAACAAACCCCAAAACCTAAACCCTAAACCCTAAACCCCAAAACCTAAACCCTAAACCCTAAACCCCAAACCCTAAACCCTAAACCCTAAACCCTAAACCCTTACCATATTATATAATGCATCTAAATAACCAGACATTTTAAGAGAAAGAATACTAGACCCTGATGAAGGAATCTTAAGAAGATGTAATAATAATTCAGAGAATAATCTCTTGTTCTTTGTTTGTGTACTGCATGCACAAATATATTTATTTATTTATTTTATTTATTTATTTATTTTATTAATCTATTTATTTTTATTTTGTTTATTTATTTTATTTATATTTATTTTATTGATTATATACATATATTTATTTTATATATATTTTATATATAACATAAACCCTAAACCCTAAACCCTAAACCCTAAACCCTAAACCCTAAACCCTAAACCCTAATTTGCTGACCTGTTTCTGCCAAGCCAAGAAGGGAAATTAGGCCGAGGAATAAAACCACCCATCTTATGAACCTATACATCAATAAAAAAAGGAGACAAAAAAAGGAGACAAAAAAGGAGACAGATAAAGGAGACAGACAAAAAGGAGACAAAAAGGAGACAAAAAATAAACATAAAAAGGAGACACATAAAGGAGAAGGGAAGGAGACAAAAAGAAGACACTTATATATAAAAAGGAGACACTTTTTACTAGACAGCAGCAGCAGCAGCAGCAGCAGCAGCAGCAAAAGAAACAACAAGCAGCAGCATCAGCATCAGCAACAGCAACAGCAGGAGCAGCAGCAAGAGATCAACAAAGACATCAGCAAATAATAAATATAAATAAATAAATAAATAAAATAAATAAATAAATAAATAAATAAATAAATAAATAAATAAATAAATAATTTACCTCCTTAGGTACATGTATACAAGTAAAGAAACCTATTACCGATAATAATGACCAATCCTGACTCTATAACAACACACAACAAGGAGACACAAGAAGGAGGAGGAGGAGACACATAAGGAGGAGGAGGAGACACATAAGGAGGAGGAGGAGACACAAGGAGGAGGAGGAGACACAAGAAGGAGGAGGAGACACATAAGGAGGAGGAGACACATAAGGAGGAGACAAGAGGAGGAGGAGACAAAAGGAGACACATAAGGAGGAGACACATAAGGAGGAGACACATAAGGAGGAGACAAGAGGAGGAGGAGACAAAAGGAGACACATAAGGAGGAGACACATAAGGAGGAGACAAAAGGAGACACATAAGGAGGAGACACATAAAGGAGACAGACACACAAGGAGGAGACACATAAAGGAGACACATAAAGGAGACACATAAAGGAGACACATAAAGGGGACACAAAAAGGAGACACAAAAAGGAGACACAAAAAGGAGACACAAAAAGGAGACACAAAAAGGAGACGCATAAAGGAGACACAAGGAGACACAAGGAGAAACAAGGAGACACATAAAGGAGAGACACAAGGAGACACATAAAGGAGACACAAGGAGACACAAGGAGGAGACACAAGGAGACACAAGGAGACACACAAGGAGACACATAAAGGAGACAGGCAATAAAAGGAGACACAAGGAGGCACAAGCACGCACAAGGCTAATTAGGGTTTATAATAATATATAACTATAATTAGGGTTTATAATAATAATTATAATTAGGGTTTATAATAATACACAATTAGGGTTTATAGAATTAGGGTTTAGAAAATTAGGGTTTACAGAATTAGGGTTTACAGAATTAGGGTTTAGGGTTTACAAAATTAGGGTTAACAATAAATAATGAGGGTTTATAGGATTAGGGTTTATAGGATTAGGGTTTATAGAATTAGGGTTTATAGAATTAGGGTTTATAGAACTAGGGTTTGGAGAATTAGGGTTTGGAGAATTAGGGTTTGGAGAATTAGGGTTTACCGTTCTGAGTACAGAATTAGCAATATCTGCCTTAGTAAGAGCAGCAGCAGCCCTGCAGCAACAATTAAGGGCATCTAATTCATTAGATGAGGGTTTAGGGTTTGTAAACCCTAATCCTACACCCCCATGCTGCTGCTGCTGCTGCTGTTGCTGCAGGCCATGAGCTATGCCCGTTAAATAATTCTCCTGTAAATATCACACAAACCCTAAACCCTAAACCCTAAACCCTAAACCCTAAACCCTAACTAAACCCTAGACCCTAAACATTAAACTGCAAATCCAGCCCCCTAAACCCTAAACTCTAGACCATCAACTGTTAACCCAAAACCTTCAGCTCCAAACCCTAACCCCTAATGCCTAAACCCTAAACCCTAAAACCCTAAACCCTAAACCCTACTTGTATAAGTAGAGGAATCATATCATAGTCAACAAAGAAAAGATCCATTTGTTCATTTATTTTTAATTTATTATTGCGGCTATCTAATAATAATTTACAACAATCAAATGGACCTAGCATTACCTGAATACATAAACCCTAAACCCTAAACCCTAAACCCTAAACCCTAAAAAATAAAAAATAAAAATATAACAAAATTTACATTTATAACACAAAATATACAGATACAATACATACAATATATATAAACCCTAAACCCTAGATATACAGCGCAAACCCTACAGATTGAAACCCTAAACCTCCCTATACACCGCAGAGCTGCGTATACACCCTAAATAAATAAATAATTACTTGTGTATCCTTAGCAGAAGAAGGGGCCCCTTGTTTTATTTGTTGATGATGATGGGCCTCCATGGCTAACAATTGTAATTGACCAACACATTGACGCATATCTCCTCCTGTATACATAAACCCTAAACCCTAAACCCTAAACCCTAAACCCTAGAAACCCTAGAAGCCCTAATCCGTATAAACCCTAAGCCCTAAGCCCTAGGGATAAAAAAACGATGTGTAAAGCTCATGTTCAATCCATTAAATGCCCACAACCCCAGGTGGTCCCTACAAAAGATACTATCAAACCCTTAACCCTAAACCCTAAACCCTAAACCCTAATTACCTGAAACTTCAGCAATTTGTGCGAGGGTTTCCTCAGAAACCGTCAAGTTCTCTGCTGCAGCAATTTGCTGCATGCGCCTAATTAGGGTTTTTACTGAGGGTTTTTCAAATCGTAGATCTAGACACCGAGTAGCCAATGTACGAACCTGCACAAACCCTAAACCCTAAACCCTAAACCCTAAACCCTAATTCTTGAACCCTAAACCCTAAATTTTTGGGAAAAAAACCTAATAGGATGAAATTTGAAGTAGGATGTGGATCTAATTAGGGTTTAGGGTTTAGGGTTTAGGGTTTAGTACCTTATTATTCATACGATCATTACATATACATATAATAGGGACACGAGTAGATTCAATTAATTTAATCATTGCTTGTGATCCTCCTCTGTCTCCTCCGCTTAGTCCATCAACTTCATCAAAAAGGAGACAGGGTAATTTTGCTTCTCTTGCTGCTGCTGATCCTGGTGCTGCTGCTGCTCCTCCTGCTGCTCCTGCTGCTGAGGGTTTGCTGCTCTTATCCAGACGGAAGAAATCTACTGTTACACCACCCTGTACTATTCCCTCCAACTCTGCAATATAATCAATACATAAATAAATTAGGGTTTAGGGTTTAGGGTTTAGGGTTTAGGGTTAGAAGAAGAAGAAGAAGCAGGAGACACAACAACATTCATAAAAGATATGCGTACACCGCAAGAGACACCAAATTGTTATGCATGCATGCATGCATCTGCATGCACCTGCATGCACCTGCATGCATGCGTACCTTGTATACTAGCCTTATTACGGCAATCAGAAGCATTGAACTCAATTAGCTGCATTTGCTGCAGTGCAGCAGCAACAGCAGCAGCAGTTGTCTTCCCTATACCTGGAGGACCACTAAGGAGACAACATTTAGCATTTAAATTTATTGTTGGCTGCAGCAGCAAATAAATAAATAAATAAATAAATAAATATAAATAAATATAAATAAATATATAATTAATGAATTAATTAAAGGGAATAAATAAAAAAAAGATAAAAAGAATAAACTAAAAAATGTATAAATAGAGGAAATATACTAAAATAAGGGTTTAGGGTTTAGGGTTTAGGGTTTAGAGCGTACAGGGAACATTCCTCCAGAGAAACCACCAGGGGTAAACCGGGGTTTAGGGTTTTCTTTTAATTTCCCTGAGGGTAAACCCTTGCATAATAATTAGGGTTTAGGGTTTAGGGTTTATTTTATCTATTATATTCTTATATAAATACATATTCCTAAACAACCCTCAAACCCTAAACCCTAAACCCTCAAACCCTAAACCCTAAACCCTCAAACCCTAAACCCTAAACCCTCAAACCCTAAACCCTCAAACCCCCAAACCCTAAACTGCCTGCATGAATCCCTACAAACACCAATTACCCCCATCCCTTATGGTGTGCATAGTATAGTATATTTTTGGTAAATTAGGGTTTAGGGTTTATTAGGGTTTAGGGTTTAGGATATATTAGGGTTTAGGGTATATTAGGGTTTAGGGTTTACCTTTAATACATACATCATGCCAATCCCTTAACCAATTAATTAATAAATTAAATTGTTGTTCGTTGCCAACAAACTCTGCTGGGGTTTGGGGTCTGTACTTCTCTACCCATAAGGAGGAACTTTTTCCTGCTGCTGCTGTTGCTGCTGTTGCTGCTCCTACTGCTGCTGCTGCTGGTGCTGCTGCTGTTGCTGCTGCGGCAGCGGCAGCAGCTATAGCTCGCGGTGCTCCCCAAGCAGCACCGCGTCCTGCTGCTCCCGCTGCTGCTGCAGCAGGAGCAGCAGCAGCAGAAGGAACAGCAGCAGGAATAGCAGCAGCAGCAGCAGCAGCAGGAGAATCTCCTAATAAGGATAAGAATTCTTCCTCATTAATAATCTTAATGCTGCTGCCTTTTTGCTGCTGCTGCTGCTGCGCTTTCTTGTATTTGCTGCCGCTCTCTACAGGCCTCCCGTCCTCTAATATAGATCCAATTACTAATAAATCCGTACGACCAGATACCTATATATATATATAAACCCTAAACCCTAAACCCTAAACCCTAAACCCTAAACCCTTAATTTATGGCACCTTAAACTCCAAACCCTAAACCCTGAAACAAAGTACTCAATCTGCGAGATCTAATGCAGACCTAAACCCTAAACCCTAACTGCAGCACCAGGTCACTGTTGAGAAGGAGTAAACCCTACATTAGGGTTTAGGGTTTAGGGTTTAGGGTTTAGACTTACAGCAGAAGTAACAGAGCCACCTGCAGCAAGAATTCTTTCTATTGCTTCTTCCCTCGTCATCTGCTGCAGCACACCTGTTAGTACTACCTTCTTCCCCGCCAACTTGCTGCTGCTGCTGCTGCTGCTGCTGCTGGTTGGGGGCTTCGCCTTGGCCTTCTTGGGGGACTTCTGTGCTGCTGCTGCTGCAGCAGCAGCAGCAGCAGCAGCAGGTTTGCTGCCATCAGCAGCAGAGGAATGCTTCCTCTTTTTGCTGTTGGAGGCAGGAGAGTCCTCAACGCATACTGCACACACAAACCCTAAACCCTAAACCCTAAACCCTAAACCCTAAAGGCGGCTCTAGAAGGCGTTCCTAGAGGACCCCAAACCCTAAACCCTAAACCCTAAAACCTAAACCCTCGCAGTACCTTCGTCCTTGTCAAGACTCATGGCAGTAGACTCTGGTTCCTCCGTTGCTGCTGCTGCTGCTTCTTTTGCTGCTGCTGCTGCTGCTCCCTTCTCCCCATCTACCTTAATCCTTCCTTCTTTATCATCACCTACAGCAGCAGCAGGTGCTGCTGCTGCTGCTGCTGTTGCTGCTGCTGCTGCTGCTGCAGGTTGCTTCTTGTGCTTAAAAAATTCTTTGCTGACAGCAGCAGCAAAGAAAGAATCAACATCAACCTCAACCCTCTCTGGCTTCGCCTTTTGCTGCTGCTGCTGCTGCTGCTGCTGCCTATCTGCTGCTGCTGCTGCAGCAGCAGCAGCAGCAGGTTTAAGGAATTTATCTAATGTTACCTTAGGTACTTTATTCTTTTTGTCTCTCTTGTGTGTCTCCTCATCACTGTCTGTCTCCCCTGGCTCTAATACAACACAACGGGTACCTGTCCCTTTTTGCTTCTGCTGCTGCTGCTGCTGCTGTTGCTGTTGTTGCTGCTTTTTTAGTTCTTTGCTGCTGCTGCTGCTGTTGTTGCTGCTGCTGCTGCTGCTGTCAGCAGCAGCAACATCCTTACAATCCTCGTCGCTGTCCGACAGCACCACCCGACGCAAACGGCCCGCCCTGCAGCAGCAGCAACACAGCAGCAGCAGCAGGTGTATCTGCAGCAGCAGCAGCAACAACAACAACAACAGCAGGAGCAGCAATAGGATCTGCAGCAGCAGCAGCAGTAGCAGCAATAGCAGCAGCAGCAGCAAGCTTACCTGAGGGGTTTAGAGACCTTAGGAGGACTTAGTGTCTTTCCTTCGCTGCTGCTGTCGCTGCTGCTGCTGCTGCTGGATTGATCGTCTGCTGCTTCGCTCTCCTCCTCGCTGCTGCTGCTGCTGCTGCTACTGCTACTGCTGCTGCTGAGTGCCTTCTTGCCTCTGCCCTTCTGCGGTCCTTTAGAGCCAGCATTTGCTGCCTTCTTTCCTGTTGCTGCTGCTGCTGCTGCTGTCTTCTTTTCCTTAGGGTTTGCTGCTGCTGCCTTAGGCTTCTTAGGCGCAGGTGCAGCAGCAGGTTTGCTGCTGCTTAATGCGCTGCCGACCTTACTCTTGTTGCTGCTGCTGCTGCTGCTGTTGCTGCTGCTCTTGTTGCTGGTGGGATCCTTTCCTTGACTGCTGACGCCGCCCTCGGGGGCAAAGAAGTTGCGGATGTCGGACATATCCACTCAGCTAGGGTTTAGGGTTTAGGGTTTAGGGTTTATTCCTTAACGACAAGGGTTTAGGGTTTAGGGTTTAGGGTTTAGCTGGCCTTGGATGGTGGCCACACACACCCCCAGAGCCCAGTAGACTGCTTCTGTCTTCTGTCGCCGCTAAACCCTAAACCCTAAACCCTTAAACCCTAAACCCTAATCCCTCGAGTGTGGCATGCAGCAGCAGCAGCAGCAGCAGCAGCAGCAGCAGCAGGTGTGTACTGCTGCTGTTTTTCTTCTTTTTTTATTAATAAAAAAGAATTAATTAATTAAATTTATTTTTATTCTTTTTATGTAAAAACTCAAAATAAACAAACAATAATACATGCAAAGACACCACAGTTGCTGCTGCTGCTGCTGCTGCTGCTGTTGCTGCTGCTGTTGCGGTCGGTGGTGGGGGGTTTAGGGCTTTCTTCTTTTTTAGGGTTTAGGGTTTAGCCCTCTTCTTAGTGTTTTATATTATTTATTTTATTTATTTATTTGTCTATTAAGGGTTTACACATAATAAACCCTAAATAAGGGTTTACTTGTATTGCTGCTGCTACTGTTGCTGCTGCTGCTGCTTCTGTTGCTGCTGTAGCTTGTTGTTACTTGCTGCTCTTAATGCTGTTGTTGTTTCTTGCTGCAGCTGCTGCTCGTTGCTCCTGTTGTTATTCGCTTCTCTTTGTTGTTGTTGCTGCTGCTGCTGTCTTCTTTTTTGCCGCTCCTTGTTTTTGCTGCTGTTGCTGCTGTTATTTTCTTTGCTGCTGCTGCTGCTGCTGCAATTGCTGCAATTGCTGCTGTTTAAGCTTTGCCTTCGCTCGCTGCGCCGATGTTGCAGCAGCAGCAGCAAAACGAGCAGCAGCAGCAGCAACAGAAGCAGATGCTGCCTTCTCCGTTGCTGCCCTCTTGGGGTTTCCTATGAAACCCTAAACCCTAAACCCTAAACCCTAATCTGTATCACTCCAAGTATAACAGCAAAGTAGCTAGCCCTTCGCAGCAAAACCCTAAACCCTAAACCCTTATTTAGGGTTTTAATGACTCGATTAGCTGCAGCAATTGTTACTAAGTAGTAGAAGACAGCAGCAAGGAGACAAGGAGCAGCAGCAGCAAATAAATAAAAAAGGAGGCAGCAGCAGCAAAGAAAGGTGACACTATCTGTCTCCTCTTATATACTCACTAATAAGGACTATTTATTTGCTGCAGCTAGCTAGTTAGCTATAAATAGTAACAGCTAGCTACCTGGCTAGCTGCTGCTAGCTGCAGCTAGCTGCAGCTAGCTGTGGCTACTTGTAGCTAGCTGCAGCTAACAGCAGCCAGCAGCAGCAGCAGCCAGCTGCAGCAGGCTGCTGCGTTGCTGCTGCTAGCTGCTGCTGCTATGCTAAGCCAAAGGAAAAGGATAAACAAACGCCAAGAAAGTTGCTGTCGATGGTGCTGCTGCAGCTGTTGCTGCAGCAGCTGTTGCTGCAGCAGCTGTTGCTGCTGTCCCTGCTGCTGCTGCTGCTGCTGTTGCTGCTGCAGCGCCAACCACCGCGGGGGCATCAAATTCTGCAGCACAGATAAGGCTGCTTGTGGGGAGTGCAGCACGAGTAGCAGCAGCAGCAGCAAAAAAAGAGCAAACAAAAGCAGCAGCTGCTGCTACTGCAGCAGCAGCAGCAGCAGCAGCAGCTGCTGCTGCTGCTGTTGTTGTTGTTACTAGGCAGCAAATAGTATTAAGAACTAGAGACAATCATCATCTTCATTAGGTATAGGCTGAGAGTTAACAATTCCTTCAGGGCTACTTTCGCTGCTGCTGCTGCTGCTGCTGCTGCTGCTGTTGCTGCTGTTGCTGCTGCTGCGGCTGTCAAGGGTGTTGTTTCTACAACTGCTGCTTGCTGCTCCTGCTACTGCGGCTGCTGCTGCAGGAGCAGCACCAAAGTCACGGGGTGTACGTACACGTGGACTCTTCATTGCTGATGTCCTCTGTGAACGCGACTTGCTGCGCATGCGGAAGCAAGCCACGAAGGGGTTGCTGCTGCTGCTGCTGCTGCTGTTGCTGCTGCTGCAGCCGTTGCCTGTGCTGACTACACAGCGAGGGGACTGCAGAGGCGAAGCAGCAGGAGTCTGGAAGGGAGTGTTCGAGTTGCTGGCAGCAGCAAAATCCACCGGTTGCTGCTGCTGCTGTTGTTGCTGCTGCTGCTGCTGCAGCTGCTGCAACTGTTGTTGGCCAATCTGCAGCTGCTGTTGCTGCCTTTGTAGTTGCTGCTCCTGCTGCTGCTGCTCAAGACTTCCATCCTGCATGCACATTATACCTTGCTCCTGTTGACGCTGCTGGTCTTGTTGCAGCTGCTGCTGCTGCTGCTGCTGTTGTTGTTGCAGCTGTTGTTGCAGCTGCAACTGCAACTGCTGCCGCTGCTCATGCTGCCGTTGCTGCTGCTGCTGCCGCTCATGCAGCCCCTCTGCCTGTTGCTGCTGCTGCTCTGTTGCTGGCATGCGCCCCAATTCGCTAAGCCGCAGTCTTGGGACAGCAACCGGGGGGTGTGCCTCGAACTGTTGCTGTTGCTGCTGCTGCTGTTGCTGCTGCTGCTCCTGCTGCTGCTGTTCTTGCTCCTGTTGCATTCGTTGCTGCTGAAGTTGATGCTGTTGCTGCTGCAGATGTTGTTCAAGTAACGGATTAGATATCTGCTGCAGTCCACTGTCTGCAGCAGCAGCAGCAGCAGCAGCACGCGATGCAGCTGCTGCTACTTCAGGAGCAGCCAGCAGCCGTTGGAAGCTGCTGCAGAGGCCTGCTGCTGCTGCTGAAGGTGCAGCAGCAGGTGCTGCTGCTGTTGCTGCAGCGGTGGGCTCTGCACTGTGTTGGGGTTCTGTTGGTTGCTGAGCTACTGCAGCACCCGCAGGAGGACCTGGAGAAGCAGGGGCATCTGCAGCAGCTGCTGCTGCTGCTGCGGCTGCTGATGCATGCAGAGCAGCAACAGCAGCAGGAGCATCAGAGGCCCCCGCAGTAGCAAACAGCTGCTGCTGCAGTCTTATCTCTGGTAGCTGCAACTCCCCTACAAGATCTACTGCTGCTGGCAGCACAAAATAGCGGAGTTTGCTGCTTCCTGGTGCAGCAGCAGCTGCTGCTGCTGCCGCTGCTGCAGCTGCGGCTGCTGCTGCTCTTGCTGCTGCTGGGCTTTCTGCAGATCCCTCCGCCCCAGTGCTATCTGCCGGTGCCTCTTGAGCTACTGGAGACGCACTCCTGCTGCTGCTGCTGTTTTGCTGCTGCTGCTGCTGCTGCTCCTGTTGGGTAGAAGCGAAGTAGGACTGCAGCAACTGCTGCTGTTGCTGCTGCGCTTTTGCTGCTATGGTCTGCATGTGCTGCAGCAGATTCTCTGCTGAAGTAATAGAAGGCAGCAGCGCAGCAAAGACAGCAGCAGTTTGCCGCGGTGGTGATTGGTTATCTGCTGCTGCTGCTGCTACCTCAACTCTTAGCTGCTGCTCCTCCCCCCAGCTGCTGCTGCTGCTGTTGCTGCTGCTGCTGGTGGTGGTGGTGGTAGTACAAAGCGCCTTTCTTTGCTTAGGCTGCTGCTGCTGCCTCTCCTTCTCCGCCGCTTCTTCCTCACGAATTAGTGCTGCTGCTGCTTCCTGTTGCTGCTGCAATTGCTGCACTGCAGCAGCAGCAACATCCAACAAGCCTTCTATCTCTCTTGCTTCTTGCTGCAGCACTTGCTGCTGCTCAAAGAAACCGCTCATTACCTCGCCAAGGAACTGCTGCTGCAGCACAAATAAACCCCCCAACACCTAGTACACATGTTGCTGCTGCTCGTGCTGCTCTTGTTGCAGCAGCAGCAGCAGCAGCAGGAGCTTCTGCTGCTGCTGTTGCAGTTGTTCATCTACAGCAGGAAAGGTGACGGCAAGTTGATCAACATTGTAGACAGTATTTACGTGCTATTAGCACTACCAGCAGCAACAGCAGCAGCATCAACAGCAGCAGCATCAACAGCAGCAGCAGCAGCAGCAACAGCAGCAGCAGCAGCAGCAGCAGCAGCAGTACAGTTTTTCTTTGTATGAGTGCTTGTGCGGAGTTTCGAATATCTTCGAGAAGACGAGAGGCTGTCACAAATACTGTACGACTCCGAGACTCCAGCAGCTGCAGCAGCAGCAGCAGCAGTAACAGTAACAGCAGCAGCAACAGTAGCACAAGCAGCACAAGCAAAGAAGCATGAGGAATAGTTGTTATAGAAGCAGCAGCAACAGCAGCAGCAACAGCAGCAGCAACAGCAGCAAGAGCAGCAGAGGAGATGTGTATGCACCTCAAGTTGTCTTGTTCTGCTGCTGCGATGATCTTCGAGTTGCTGCTGCGCCTCCTTAAGAGCTGCTGCTGCTGCTGCTGCTCTTCGCTGCAGCAGCGCAGCAGCCTCAGCGGAGTGTCTGTACACCGCGATCCTTGAATGAGAAAAGTGCGGCTCTCTCTCGCTAGCTAAGCAGCAGCCGCACACCAATGTGCTGCAAGGAACTGCAGCAGCAGCAACAGCAGCAGCAGCAACGGCAGCAGCAGCAGAATGAGGAAGGGAAGCAGCACCAGCAACAGGTTGCAGGCAACAGCAGCAGAGACAAAGGGAGCAACTGCAGGGGCAGCAACACCAAACAAAGCACCAGCAGCAGCAGCACCAACAGCAGCAACAGCAGCAGCAGCAACAGCAGCAGCAACGAACCGCATAGAGCGACGACTGGTTGCCATGGGTGGGCTTCGCACATCCTGCAGCAGCAGCAACAGCAGCAATAGCAGCAACAGCAGCAGAAGCAGCATAAGAAGCAGCAGCAGGAGCAGCAGCAAAAAGACGCTACGTCAATTGGAGCAGCACTACAACTGTGTTTATGCTTTGCTGCTGCTGCTGCTTCTGCTTCTGCTGCTGCTGCTGCTGCTGCTGCTGCTAGGCGACCCACACTTGATCACCATTTGCCCTCTCGTCTGTCCCTGGTGGCCTTCTCTTTAGTTCGCGCCTCCTCTGCTGCTCCTGCTGCTCCTGCTGCTGCTGCTGCTGCTCCCGCTGCTCCTGCTGCTGCTGCTCCAGACGGCGCTTGTTTTGCTGCTCCTCCTGAAAGGCCACAGCAGCAGAAGCAACAGCAGCAGCAGCAACAGCAGCAGCAGCAACAGCAGCAGACAGCATAATAGCAATGCAGCGAGGACATCCTTACACAAAGCTCTGTGCATGCACCAACAGCAACACCTGCTGCTGCTGCTGTTGCTGCTGTTGCTGCTGCTGCTGCTGCTGGTGGCTCACCTCCTCAGCAGACTGCAGCAGCGCAAGATTCTCTGCTGCAACACGGCTCCAGCAGCGGCAGCAAGGGCAGCGAACAGCAGCAGCAAGAAGCGAAGAAGAAAGGAGATTCCTTAATCTTTGCTGCTCTGCTGCTGCTACATTAACTGCTGCTGCTGCTGCTGCTGCTGCTGTTGTGGCGGTAAGAGCTGCTGATGCAGAACCCCAAGATAATAGGCCTGAGCTATGTGCTGCTGCTGCTGCTGCTGCTGCTGCTGCAGCGGGAAAGATGCTGCTACCGCCCTGATGCTGCTGCAGCAACTGCTGCTGCTGCTGCTGCTGTTGCTGCTGCTGCTGCAGCTCATTAAGTCGCTTCCTGCCTACAGCAACCTCCATCAGCAGCGGCAGCAAAGGAGGAGTTGCTGCTGCTTCTGCATCTACTAACCTGCAGATACAACTGCAGCACAAAGAATGACCTAAAAAAAAACACACACACACACAAACCCTAAACCCTAAACCCTAAACCCTAAACCCTAAACCCTAAATTCATGGGTGCATGAGGCATAACAATATCTAGACGTGAAGATCTAAACCCTAAACCCTAAACCCTAAACCCTCACCACACGACAACACTTTGGGTCGGAGTTCATCATCAAGGGAGAAACACTCGAAGCAAACAGGACATTCGTGCTTCTTGTTGCTGCTGCTGTTGCTGCTGCTGCTGCCTCTACGTGCGGATGGGTCTGCCATCCCTGCTGCAGCAGCAGCAGCAGCAAGCTGTCTACCTGCCATTGTTCGCCAAAGTTGCTACTGCTGCTGCTGCTGCTGCTGCATGCATGCGTAGCTGTTGCTGCTACTACAGCAGCAAACAGCTCCTGCTGCAGCAGCAACAGCAGCAGCAATGTTACTGTCGCAACTGCCGCTGCTGAAGCGGACGCACGCAACAGCAGCAGCAGCAGCAACAGCAGCAGCAGCAGCAACAGCAGCAACAGCAGCAACGGCTGCTGCTGCACTGCTGCGACTCCTCGGCTTCTTTAAACCTGAGGCCGAAGAAGTTAAGTTTTGTTTTAATTAAATAGGGTACAGTTGAGGGGCCCCCCAGGGGCCCCCTAGCTGTACCCTATTCGATCTGTTGCTGGTGGCGGGGGCCCCCAATGGTGTTTATGAGGGTTTAGGGGCCCCCTGAAGCTGCTTATACGTAAACCCTAAACCCTAAACCCTAATTTATCAATTGTTATTGATAAGAAAACCCTTAAAACCCTAGAGGAAGAGAAGGGGGGAAATGGTCAGCTCGCCACAAGACAATAACGAGCTAGCCTAAACCCTAAACCCTAAACCCTAAACCCTAAACCCTAGTAAACCCTAGTAAACCCTAAACCCTATTAAACATTAAACAATTAACTCTAAGAATTAAATAAACCAATTATAAATATAAAATTAGGGTTTAGGGTTTAGGCAACAATGCTTCTTCCTATAAACACGAATAAGGGTCTCGCGAGCTGCTGTCGGCGCCTTCAGCCAAGCCAAGCCCTAAACACTAAACCCTAGACCCTAGCCCTAAACCCTAAACCCTAAACCCTAAAGCCTATAGGGGAATACTAAACCCTAATATATAGCAGCAATACAGGGATCTTTGGATAAGATCATTGAGGGTTTAGGGTTGTTTAGGGTTTGGGCTAAATAAGCTAACCAGGGTCCCCTCCTTCTAAACCCTAAACACTAAACCCTCCAACCTAAACCCTAAACCCTTGAACCTAAACCCTAAACCCTCAATATCCGTTTCTCGTGTTATTATGGCGTCATGTTTCGGGTTCAACTGGATTAGATCCCCATACTTTTTACTCCTTCTTTTTCCTCTCCTTAGTCTCTAGGGTTTAGGGTTTAGGGTTTAGGGTTTAGGGTTTAGGGTTTGTTATATGTTGCAAGATAACGCCAATTAGCATTTAGGTAAAATAAGGAAAATGTTAATATTATTATTATTAATAATAATAAATAAATAATAATAAATAATAAATAATAATAAAGAAATAATAAAGAAATAATAAGTAGTTAATTAATTAATTAATTAATTAATTAATTAATTAATTAATTAATTAATTAATTGAAGGTAATAAAGAATGTCTATATAATGCTATATATAGATATAAAATAATTAATAAATAATAAATAAACTAATTAATTAATAAATAATTTAATTATTTATTTAGTTAGTTAATTAATCAACTAATTAATTAATTAACTAACTATTCAATTAATTATTAATTAATTAATTAATTAATTAATTAATTATAATTAATTACAAAGAAAGCCTAAAAACGACGGTAAAAAAAAACATTTCTTAAAATCTGGTCGTAGTTGCTGCTGCTGCAGCTCCTCCTGCTGCTGCTGCTGCTGCTGCTCATGCAGCAGCAGCAGCAGCAGCAACAAACCCTCTTCTAACAAACATTCAGGTGTATGTACACCTCAAATTAAATAACAAGCTGGGCAGGCAGCTGCTGCTCTTTGTCTTCTCCTCCCCTCTTCCCTTCCCTGCCCTCCTGCTGCCCTTCAGCTTGCTGCTGCTGCTGCTGCTGCTGCTGCTGCTGTTGCAGCTGCAGCAGCTGCTGCTGAGCCAGTGGAGGCATCCTGCAACAGCAGAGCAGCTGCAGCAGCAACGACATCCTACTGCTGCTGCTACAGCGGCAGCAGCACCAGCGGCATCCTGCTGCTGCTGCTGTTGCTGCTGCTGCTGCTGCTGCTGCAGTGAAGGGCTCCTAAGGAATTGAGCAGCAGAAGCAAGCGGCCCCCCGCTGCTCCAAAAAAAGCCTAAACCCTTGCTGCAGCAAAACCCTTAACCCTAGCTGCAGCAAGCCCTAAACCCTAGCTGCAGCAAACCCTAAACCAGCGGGATCTTCTTAGATAATGGTGGTTTGCTGCAGCGGGAAATAATTGATCTAAACCCTAAACCCTAAACCCTAAACCCTAAACCCTCCATTTTATGGCGGAGGAGAGGGATAATCTAAATCGGCATCAAATGTCCCCTTCCTGTCTCCTAAAGCTGATCCTCAGCATGCTGCTGCTGCTGCTGCTGCTGCTGCTGCTGCTGTTGCATGCTGTTGCTGCTGCTGCTGAACGCTGCGGCAGCAGCAGGATTCCCCATCCTGCTGCTGTTGCTGCAACAGCAGCAGACGCGGAGGTGTATGTCCACCAATACTAAGAACGGTCCTTTTGCTGCTGTAGTTGCTGCTCTTGCTGCAGCAGAAGCAGCATCAGCAGCTCCTGCTGCTGCTGCTGCTGCTGCTGCAGGAGACAGCAGCAGCTAAGGGAGAAAGAGACCCATGAACAGCAAGTGTCTCCTTCTGTCTCCTTATAGATAGGGGATCTAAATAAAGAAGCAAATAATAATAATTAAATAAATTAAATAATAAATAAATAAATAAATAAATAAATAAATTAATTAATTAATTAATAATTAAATAATTAAATAAAATAATAAATAAAATAAAAATCTAGCCAGCTAGTAATACAAACAAAGACACAAAAAGGAGGAGCAGCAGCAGCAGCAGCATTTAAATAAGACAACCATTTGCTGCTGCTGTTGCTGCTGTTGCTGTTGCAGCTCGTTCGTTGTCTGCTGCTGTCTTGGTGGAGTTCTTGTTGTTGCTGCTGCAGCAGCAGTTGCTGCTGTTGCTGTTGCTGCTGCTGCTGCAGATATATTTGTATATCCTGGCCTCATATAGGTATATCCTCTTCGTGCTGCTGCTGCTGCTGCTGCCTATAAGCAGCAGCAGCAGCAGATGATGATGATGATGATGTCTTTGCTGCTGCAGCAGGTTTAGTAGCACAAACTCTATAGCAGCAGATGCTGCTTTTGCTGCTGTTGCTGCTGGTACATTTTCCCTTTTTGCCTGTACTATTGCTGCTGCTGCTGCTGCTGCTGCTGCTGCAATCAAGCTTATCGACAACAGCAGGAGGAGCAGCAGGAGGAGGAGGAGCAGCAGGAGCAGGAGAAGGATTAGGAGGATAAGCAGCAAGAGCAGCATCAGCAGCAACAGCAGCAAGAAGGAAAGCAAGAATAGATAAGATAAGAAGAGAAGAAAGAATAAGAATAAAGAAAGATTTATGGTGTATAGACACCCTAAATAAAGGAGACACAATAAGAGAGGAGACACCACCTATAGACATACATATACCTATTAATTTACCATGATGGTGTCTTGCTGCTGTTAATTTATTTATATATAAATAAATTTGTGTAGACATAAGAGGAGAATAAAAAGAATAAATAATAACAATTATATTTGCTGCTGCTGCTGTAGGTAGCAGCAACTGCAGCAAGGAGACACTTATTAATATTGTACCTAATAAATTAACAAAAAGGAGACACTTTTTTATCCCTAATTTATCCGTAAATATACCCAATAAAGGAGGATATATAAATACAATACATAAAAGGAACTGCAGCAAATCAATTGCTTGCTGCTGCTGCTGCAGCAGCTGCAGCGAGCATTCAGCTATATATACACCCCGTACTAATTGTATACAAAAATAAGGAACAATAGGCAAAAAGGAGACACTAAATACATAATTATAAATAAATTTATATATTTCTTCTTTTATCTCTATTATTCTATCTATTTTTTTTTTTTTTTTTTTTTTTTTTT